GTTTTATCTCTTGACCTTTGTAACAACAGCCATGCAAGCAGCTCTGTGAGGCTGCACTTCAGCTAAATGCTAACGTCAGGATGTTTACGTGCTTACGGTGACAATGCTAAAATGCTAAAGTTCTGTCGGTATATTCGCCATGTTCACCTTCTTATTTCAAATTAGCAAAATGTTAACATCCCCATCCCTGGAGACATGCTGCTAATTATTCAAATTATCAAATGTCAAAAGATGAAAGATAAAGACAACTGCCCACGGTTCATAGAAATCATTTGATGATTTTTCTTTGTTTTGAAGGTAAGAAGCCAAAAGAGTTAGGAGGTTGAAAATATTACAATAGTTGGCAGCTTTCCCCAAACATGTTGAGGTCTACGTCACTTCATAAGGCTTTATTCAAAGCACCACTCCCTTTATGATAAAATAACATAACCGGCTTTTCAACCAGGAAAACATTTACATAATTCAGTTATCTAAAGCTACAACACCATAAAACATTATTTAAAAATGTTTCTTCAATTATCTGGTTGTGCTTTCAGTTTGGGAAACTGTAGCACTCTTTACTGAATGTGTGACATCTTGAAGTTCAAGCAGTACAATAGGATCTTTCCATCTTGGCAAAAACAAGAACATTTTCATGCTGCAGCACATTACATTTCTTAAATTGTTATAACACAAATTACTCCCGGACCGTGAGGAGTTACATACTTCTCATATGTTAACAGTTCTGCCAAATTCTGCGCTCAAAGTGAAGCAGGATTTCATGTGTGGTTCCCTATTTATTGCTGAGTGCCATTCCTCTCCTTTTATCTCTCCATGTAACAATGAAAAACCTCAAGCTGCTGCTGCTGCTGCTGCTGCTGCTGCTGCTGCTGCTGCTGCTTCAGAAGGAGCAACACAAACATCTCTGACTGTACAGGTAAAAAAAAAAAAAAACACTAAAAGGTTCATATTTCTTTCAAGAGCAGAAAAACAGACCTTCAGGCGGATCCCTTTCAAGTCCTCAACCCATGAAACTCCCGCAGAACCACTTAAAAACATCTTTCTGAACTGGAACACCACTCACTCGTAGTCAAATCAATAAAAAAAGAGAAAACAACAGGCAATCAATGCGGCAAATAAAAACATTCAGGATAATTTCATGTAAGCACACGACGTAAATGATCTCTATATGTTGATATGACTGTAACCCTGCAGGAAAACAGCTTTAGATTAAGCGTGTATGTGCAGTGGGTGCTTGTGCGCTCAGCAGAGTGTGACATGTTTTCCAGCCCCGAACAGATAACTGCACTGTGAGAATCTGCCTGAGCGTTGTTGCACAGTGAAACCCCAGGGTGGTCTTCAGCTGCTTCTGTCAGCGGATGAGTCTCAGAAATAAACTGAAATTACCAGCAAGAAGGAAGGTAGTAAAGTTGCTGCAACTCTGAGCAGATGGAACATTAGCAACGCAGAAAATAAAATAAACTTAAATTTACGCGTCTGTGTGGATGTCCTCTCTCCCCGCACACACAGTACACGCCGCCTGACCAAAGAGCCGTCCAACCCGATAGATCCTGACCACTGAGAAGAACAGGCCGATGAAATATGCATTACAGAGGAAAAAGCTCGCCGCCTTAGCACACAGAAATGTTCAGCCTCCCTCTCTCTGAGCGTAAAACATTGATGGCGGCAGGCGCAGCAGCTAACCCACTGGATGGAGTGCCGAGCTGAACCGGCGGAGGCTCTGCAAGTTCACATCTAATTCTGGACTTCCCCCATGGGACCGCTGGGCTGAGAAAGGAAGGAGCCGGGCAGGTTTATCTCGAAAAAAGGCTTTTCCTGGTTCGACCCGGCCCTCGGCTGTGTGTGAGCGCCTGTGTGTTTATAGAGCAAGACATGACAGGATTGTTAATATGTGAGGTCATAAGGCTGCACGCTTCTGCTACTAAGAGGACGTGCAAACATTCCTGGTTGTTCCTCCTACGATCTCGCCGTGTAACAGTGATACAGCAGATGTCGTCGTAAAAGGAAAACAGCCCGTGTCTGTCCTGGAGGAGGCTGAACATGGCCACTGTCTACAGGAGGAATTAAAATGATTCAGCCTCTGGTTAACGCCGTCGTGAGTCTTAGTTATGGGTGCAGATTCTCTGTGTGAATAATGTCCACATATTGTTAGTGAGGAGTGTGCAGATGTTTGGAGAAGGCACCGCCTGCTTTAACTTTAATTAACTCTAAATGGTGATAGTGGGAAATGACATAATACCCCAGCATCAGGCAGAGACAGAGTGTGCACGAGGTAAATTTGCAACAGACTGAACATGCACATGGACATACTATATACAAACACACTTACATTACTGCAATTTTAAATCTTATCACTAATCATCGTCAAATATGCAACATATACTTTACAGTGAAGTGAACTTAAAACAAACTGTTATTGCATATTCATAGATTCATTGTTTTGCAATGTTATTTTCATTTCTAACTATCTAATTTAAGTGTTTTGTGAAAAATAATAATAATAGATTGTCATTACGTCACTGATGTGGAGGAGATGTTGAACCAGTGACTAGTTGAGTCCTACAGGATGTAATGTAGCACATGACTTTGGTTTATTGTCCAACGTCATCAAAAGTGCAACAGACTAAAGTCATGAACTCCACAACTGTAATTAAGCTTCATGTCTAATAAAATAAAAATTGTATCTTTTCATCTACTGCCACTTTTTCATGTGACGAGCTACATGATAGAAATAACAAGTTTAACGAGTTTTTTGCATTGCCATTAAATAAACTCATCCTTCCCTTCATATCTGACATCTCATTGGTTTACCTTGCATCGCGTCTTCCTTCAGTCGTCAGAAGAAAACTCTCAAAACACTTAAACCCTGAGCTTTTCCCTCGACGTTACATATTCTTATCTTATTCTAATCTTCAACCTCATAGTAATGATCAGCAAAATGCTAACCTCTGTTTTATCATTTTCATCTTCTCAATGACTTTTATCCCTCATGAGTAACACAACATCACACACACACACACACACACACACACACATACAGACGTCTCCTTTGCCTGTCAGATACTGTAGAAAACATGGGGATCAAAACAGGCATCACTTCTATCTGCAAAGGGAAAGTTGACAAGCAGCGTCTCGTCAGCAGTTCATTTCTCCCAATCTGCTAGAAAACACAAATCTTCAAAAACAACACTGATAGTATGCACACCACAAAGAAAACCATTGTTCTTAATCTGCTTGTTTCAGTTTATCAGCTCACTTTGATATCACCCTCTCAACACACACGCACACACACACGCACACGCACACACAGACGTACTTACAATGCTGGGGAAAACAAACACTCTTCTGATCTACCCTCCTCAGGGCTTTGTGGGCTCTCTGTGAAACCTCTGTCTATCTAGACAAGAGTCGACCTGGAAACGGAACAAAGGCCCGGTTCCTCACTTCGCATTGTTATTTAGCAAAGTCTGTCGCAATGAAAGACACAATAAACAAGGATTTAGCACATTGATGCACACACACAGACAGACACACACACACACACACACACACACACACACACACTCACAAAAAGAGGCTCTGCTTTGCCACAAACTCCTTCTCATCTTCCCAAAGCAACATTGATCTGATCCTGGAGTCAGACAGAGAAGTATGAGCGTCTGGCTGTAAGCAATAAGTACCACTTCAAACACAACATTAACCAGGCCCTGTGAAAGTTCCAGCTCTGCCAATAAAGATTTAACCTGCTCAATGAATTCAGCCTCTAATTACGCTTAGTTAAATGCCACATGCAGAGATTTAAATTAGCTCCTCAATATTCTCAAGGATAGAGGCTACGTAATTGCTGCTGATGCTAAATAAATGAGAGAGGGGGGAAAAAAATAACAATTAAGGGTTTGCGGATCAGTTGATCTGAAGAACGGAGTGTGCAGATGAAGAGGCTTCAGACTTACTAAGTCAAAACGGTATGCTAGAAGGTCAGCGCTGGAAGGGCTTCAGAAAAGACCTGCAGCTATGCTAGCAGCTCTATGAGGCTGTGCAATGCTAATATCAGCATGCTAACATGCTCACAATGGCAATGCTAGGTACAATGTTTACCAAGTTCACCAATTTAGATTGGTGTGTTAGCATGCTAATATTTGCTGATTAGCACTTAACACAAAGTACAAGTGAGACTCTTGAGAAGCTCACTAATGCTGCAGGAATTTATTCCATGAAAAATTACATTTTGGATGTATTAGTTCAAGAGGCTTGCTAATTAAGAAAAGACTTAAGACTTGTACACAGTATTACATCTTATTTTTCTTATTTCATCAGTGAAAATATTCGGTAAAAGCACAATAGGAACTGGCTTTCGCAAGAAAAGACTGTATGTTGCTGTAAGTGAAGCGCACATGAAGCATCCTCTCATATAGCGACAGTAAAATGCTGCACATTTGTACCAAATGCCATTACAATGGTCCGATGCACAAGGCGGGAGAGTGAAGGCCGGCACTGAGCAGTGACATGAGCTGTGCTGCATTATGGGGTTTTTAAAGCCTAACCACTGACAAGACCGCACTTTGTTTACGAGACTTCTTCTCTGTTGGAGTGAAAGCAGCGGCCTGATAAGCCACATGTAGCCCTGAACCAATGACCTGTGTTAAGGAGGCGTAATTGTCTTTTTACAGCAGGCTCTAAATCTATCCTCGCCTTCCCTTCACCAATTCACCCCTACAAGTGCCATGCAGGCTCCGGTTGCCTAGCAGCAATGGTATTTGAGCTGTTTCTTTTGTTTCTCCTTTTTTTTTGTTTGACTGATGGGTAACAAAGTCAGCTCCTCTTTTTTTACAGTTCTGGTAACAGGCAGCACTATCAGCGCTTGTTGCACAGCAGCCATGATGGTGAAAGATAGTGAAGGATGTCGAGTTACTGAAATGATATATTTTAAACCGTTGCAGGACTTTATCTTATCTACTATGAGTGTGTGCAAGCTGCTGTGTCTTCACATCTGTACCGACCTGCAGCCATCTGCATGTATCCAGCCAGGGTGCAGATCCTCCTCTCACATCCTCCGCTGGGCAGGAAGATGGTGATGATGGCCAACAGGGAGCTGACAGCCAGCAGAGCACAGCCGCCAGAACACAGCACTGCACTGGTCTGAGGAAGAAACACACACACACACACACACACACACACACACACAACAATTTAATTTCAGCTCCATTTATTCACTAAAATAGACCGAGCACAGCACTGATTGACAACAGCTCCACATCAGTTCCTTCTTCTGTGGATAGCTGCTGTCATGTAGCCGCAGACAAATGTACATATTTACCCTCCTTTGACCCCCCCCAAACCCAAAAGTGTGTGTTTTGGTCAGGTCAGGTTTTATAATCTCACAGCCAACCCTGCTAACAAGTTAATGGCTATCTCAGCTGGAAAACAGCACTGCATGGCCAAACAACAGGCCACTGTCCCTTTTCATTACATCTTCGCTTAATCACACACACACACACACACACGCTGCGAGCAAGAGGAGCAAAACACAGGCAGGGGAAGGACTTGAACAAGTGACAAGATTCATTCACAGTTTTCCTGTTTGTATGAATGTATCCATACTGGTAATCTGAACAAGCAGGCGGCTTATTTAATTCACCAGCTGTGAGGAAGTTTGGTTCTTTGTACGACGTCCTGTCAGAGCTTTGGCTGGATTTTCACTCTCATCAGAGCTAAGCTGCCCTGTTGCTCTGCTCTTGCAAAGACTCCTGGGAAAGTGCGCATTCCTGGACAAGTGGCAGCTGAGTTTGAAAGTATGTGAGAGAGTGTGTGTGTGTGGGTGTGTGTGTGTGTGTGTGTGTGCGTGCGTGCGCGCGCGTGCGTGTGTGTGTTTCCCACAACCTGTGTGCCTCTGTGGCGCTGTTTGATCTGCACAGCCTCTCAAACCGGCTTTCCAGGTTCAATAAAGCTGCCACACATCCTCCTCGACGCATTTTAAAATGTGTGTGTCCCGGACTAAGAGCAACACAGCAACGCAGTCAGAAAACAGCGCCACATCGGTGATTAGCATGCAGGGGGGGGGGCGATCGGAGAGAGATGTCTAACATGCACGAGGGAATTACAGCCCTAAAACACGTGTCATTATGCATGTCCCTGACGTGACTGACGTGAACGGAGGGAGGATGAAAGCAGAGCGATTTCCATGCCTGACAGAAGATTTAATTAGCTGGTTGGGGGTTGTTTGGTAAAGGGGGGGGGGGAATATTCAAGTGTCGTGATGTTGGAGGCAATGACTAATGATTATTCTTTTGACCTTTATTTGTCCAGGTTTGCTGAACGTGTGTGTTCTTCATGTAACAGCTCACACACAGTCACATCTGGGTGACACGTCGGCTCGTTGAGAACTGCTGGGAGCAGAGTGCCTTGCACAAGGGCACCTTAACTATAACAATTAAGCGAGGAAAGAACATGTGCAGAATAAGAACAACTCCTATAGGTTTCATTTGACTTCATTTCCACCTCAAACGTCATCAGTATTCAGCACAGAGATCCTCGGCACTCAGCAGTGCACAGTCTGGTCACATTTGTCATGGCTTCAGTGTGAGACAACAGACAGAGAAACTCTTGGGGACAACACCGTAGTGCAACTCAGCTTCAAGCCACGAAATCGGCACAGCTCTAGAGATGACAGTGCTGCTCAGTCACTTTATGTCCAGTCTGAAATATCTCAACTACTATGGGATGGAGGGCGGCACGGTGGAGCAGTGGTTAGCAGAATGAGAAGGTTCTGGGTTCGAAACCCGGGTCTGGGGCCTTTCTGTGTGGAGTCTGCATATTCTGTCATGTGCCTGCGTGGGTTCCCTCTGGGTTCTCCGGCTTCCTCCCGCAGTCCAAAGACATGTACGTTAGGTTAGAGCTCAGTGTGAGAGCGTGAGTGGTTGTTTGTCTCCAGGTATCAGCCCTGTGATAGACTGGCCACCTGATGAGCAGTATAACTAATGGATGGATGGACTATGGGAATTTAGTTTTTATGTTTCTCCAGAGTGTCATTTTATTTCTGCCTGCTCTCCGTACACCACACCTGCTATCAGGTATCAGCACACACATCCAAGGTGTGAATGGAGTTTGGTGTAAAACAGTGAAGTTGTTTTCAGCTGGACAATAATTAGATAGCAGAAAGAGCTGATTCCTAACTTTATTTTTCGACACGGATAACAATACGTCCTTCCCTTGTTTTGAATGTGGAGAAGACGCAGCGACGCACTTGAAGATAGAAAAAGCCATTAACTTCTGTGCTCTTTGTTCTCCCGTCTCTCCTGCTGGAATGATATTCATGTATGCACAGGAATGTCTCCTCTCTCTCCGCAGCTTGATCTTGGCGTGCCTCGTGGGCTCCCAGTGTGCATCCTACCTCCCACCCCGCTGTTCTCATTTCACTGTGACACATTAAAGGTACATCAAGTCTCCTATAGGGGAGGGGAGGGGAGGGGAGGGGAAGGGGGGGGGGTTCTTATTAAGGTTTTACTTTAACTAAACAATAAAATAAACGTTGTAATGTTGTGGTCAGCTGAATTCAGTTCCGATGTTGATGATTAGCATAAAAATGAAGATTGCTGTAATTGGTTGTAAATCTAAATATGTCCATATAAGCTGTAAATCCATCTGCAACTTGTGTATTCTGTCTATTTTTTCAGTCTCTTAATTATCTGAGAGCAGTAATACATTTATACACATGACATTTTCTGCATGCCATTTAGACACAGCCCCAGAGACTAATAAAGGCTATTGGAGCCCTACACAGCTATTTTTACAGAAAACAACCAACATTTCAATTCACGGTGTCTCAATTAATCAGCTCCCGGCAGTGTGTGTGTGTGTGTGTGTGTGTGTGTGTGTGTGTGTGTGTGTGCGTGCGTATGTGTGTGTGAACTCATAATCATCACACGTTTTACTTACAAACAATACAGAAAAGATTTCTGAGGCCTTTTTTCCTCGACTGTATTTGTGTTTCTCTGAGCGCAAGTTAATTTAAAAAAACAGCACTGGTCCTTTCAGTGATTCTTCCTAAACAGATTGTAATTATGTGGAAATAAGTGGTTGAGAAAAAAACCACTTTTATTCCAGCAGGAGGCAGAAAGAGACGGACTGACTTGTCTTCATCTCTTAGAAAGGTAATCCTCTCAGGATATTGTGACTTCAGGTGCACTGAGGCACAAAGACACAACTTTTACAACACAATCATAATTAATACAGGGAACTGGCAGACTTGACCCACAACCACCATTTAATCCCACGGCAGTAAGTGAGTGGCCTGGAGCCGTCGTTAATATGACCATACAAGTGTTACAACGCTGATAAAACTAAAGGCTACAGGCAGTGCTGCACATGTTACACTGCCCGGCTCCGTCATAAAGAAACTTTATTGGTTTCTCACAATAAATGGTCCACAACCTGAGCCTGATGGAGACCAATAACCACACCAACACAAAAAAACCTGCATCCAGCTGCTTTGAGTAATAATGGGCCAGTCTGAAGGAGACTCTTTGATTTCCAATTACATTAAGGAAGTCGGGGATTACACTGCACGGGCCAATGAAATTTCATTGTCTCCTCAATTGGGAGTTACAAGATGGAGATGGCAAGGCATGTCTCATTAAACGCACTTTGCCTTTCCAAGCTCAGACAGAAGGGCTAAATGTTTCAGCAGGGCTGTGGAAAATGGAGGGTTTCTGCTCTTCAGAAGTGCCAGGAAGAGGAGACAGTTAATGCGCAGCACCGGCCCTTGACAGAAATAACCCCACCACTTTACAATCCAATGGCTCGCTTTTATGGAGGACAAGAGGTGAGGCGAGAGCACTGCAGATCCGTGGATAGGCAGACATGACGCGTTTGCCTTATTGCTAGATGGCTCTTTCAGTGCGTGCGTGCGTGCGCTTTAGTGTACGCTGTTAATGTGGACAGGTATGTCATGTGCACGCAACTGCTGTCTCATCCTCTCTCTCTCTCCGTGCGCTCGCCTCAGCCCTCCCATCACTGATCAGCATTCAGCAGCGCGAGAGCCCAGTGGTCACACTAAAGCATCAGCCTTGACATGTTCTGCCTCTAGAAGCCCATTAGCAGCGTAACACAGCTTCCCAGAATATCCCTGAGCCACCAGAGGTGTTTCTGCTCCATCCACACACACACACACACACACACGAGGAATCAGCTGAGATTTCATCTGTCCACTCGTCTTTCTGTGAGCTGCCCCCATTCCTCTGCTTTGTCTCATAACTTCACCGTCTCTCAGAGGAATCCTGACGATCCTGACAAACAGAACACTAATACCATAAAAAACCTCCCCCCTCCTTCTATATTAATGTGCTGAATAACGACTTCCTCATCGATCTTCACTGGGAGGAGACTGGGAGAGGGAGTGTCGTAAGGATAAGTGTGTGTATGTACGTGTGATGGTCCTCTGACGAAGCTGTGTGTACAGAGTGAATACGAGATGGAGAGGAGATAAGGGGGAGAGGGGAGGGAGATTAATCACCTGACAAGTGGATGGAGTGTCCATTTGTGCCTCGGGGACGGGCTGCAGATAGGATGTGACATTCAGGAGCACTTGGGAGGACATGGGAGCGCTCGTTGTTCCCACTCCAACACACACACACACACACACACACACACACACAGGGACGCACAGCGGAGTCACTTCACGTCAGCATATAAACACTTCTAAAGGTTCAAAATCATGGTCATCATGGTCAAACTGGACTTCCTGGATCACAGCACCTGCAGCGACACGGCTCCTGCTGTTTTAACACAGAGCTGAAAGCCAGATGAGTTTAGTGAGTTAGCATGCTAACAGTTGCAATTTTAATATTATATCAATTTAAATTCTGACCTGATTATGACACTGGAGATTCACCAGAGTCCTTCGGCTCCATCCTCTGCAGATCATGAATATCCACATATAATTTCATAGCAATCCGACCAACATTTATTGATGTATTACAGTTTGGACCAAAGTGGGGGACCGACCACCAAGCCAAAATTAACATGCCTGCAGCTACGCCACTAGCAGGGCTGAAAACCACTTTCTGAATCACTGGGATTGTAACAAATGAAGAGCTGGGAGGAGAAAACTTCACCCACAACCCACAACCCCACAGACATAC